TTCAGAATTTCAGAAAATTGCAACTTCAAATACATATAACTGATAACTAATATCATTACTTATAAAGAAATATGGGCATTTCACTAGACAGTGACCCAATAAACAGAAATCAATGATTATAGATGTTTTAAATCTAAACATGAAATCATTAGAAATTAACTCAGTTTTGTATTTATAGATTTTTCCCCTAGTAATTTTTGCCTTGCAACAAATGGCTTAAATTTAAAAGCACACACAAGACAGAATTCCCCATTGCCACCTAGACTTTTAATTTGCTGAATTCAAGGTAGTCAGGGGTGATAAAGGTATTTTCCAAAATAAAGGCACTGGCCTTTCAAAATTTCAGACTGGAATGGTTGCTTGAAGAAAGAAAGGGTAACTGTTTCTTCCTTGAAATAAACCATAAACATTTAAACCTTTGAAGCCAAGAGTTAAGTTTAATTTGATTGTATAGTAAATTAGATGAAATAGCTCCACAGAGGGCAATCATTTTCCAGCAAGATAGCAAACATTATGTTGACTTTTTTTTTTAATCTTCCCTCTTCATTCATGTTCTCCCTTGGCCAAGAGAGCACATTTTTTGTTTCTTTAATCAGTGTAAGTCTCTACCAGAATCAAAGTGTAAAAAAAAAAAATGAGGTAAGCTCTGAATATAAGGAGAACTGGAATTAGAGTCAGAAGAATTTGTTTTGAATGTCTATTGTATGCCCTCATTCTGTTTCTCTGGTCTACCTCTATCAGAAAGGTGGGAAACATACTTCACTGTCAGTGTTTTGAAGTAAATATTGATGATGGCTTTAATCCAAATTAACCTGTCTTTCAGTTTTGTTTCTCTTAATTATAATCATTGCATGAACTGTTCTCCTGGTTTTATTTACTTTGCTTTATATTCCTTCTTACAAATCTTCCCAAGATTTTCAGATTTCCTCAGATGAGTATTTATTTATAGCATTTTCCTTGTGGTACACATGAAATTCATATGCTAGAATTTGTTCAGCCAATCAATTCCCAATTGATGGACACTGAGTTTACTTCTAGTTATTTGCTACCACAGAAGTGCTGCTAAAGGTGTCTTCTTTCTTTCTTTCTTTCTTTCTTTCTTTCTTTCTTTCTTTCTTTCTTTCTTTCTTTCTTTCTTTCTTTCTTTCTTTCTTTCTTTTTTTCATAAATAGCTCCAATAACATTAATTTCCAATCTTATCAAACCCCAACATTTGCCCTTTCAGTTTTTTTTAATGTTTTTGCCATTCTGGTGGACTTGAAGTTAAACCTATGAGGTGTTATAATTTGTATTGCTTTAATTACTAAGTGCATAACTCTTATGTTCATATAATTATTGACAGTTTATGGTTTTTTTCCAATCAGCTTATTTAAATCCTTTGGCCACTTGTCTATTGGGGAGTGCTTTTTGTAATTTTACAAATGTATATAAAGATATAGAAAAATATAAGTATATTTTTATGTATACATATGTATACACATGCTAATAAATATGCATACATATAAACATGTATATATCTCTATTTATATGTTTAAATGTATGAGCATGCATATATATGTATATGTGTGATAATATATGTGTGTATGTATGTATGTGTGTATTTATGTATGTATGTATGGGGAGTATTGTAGAATTATAGCTAAAAGGAAAATTCTGGACCAAAGCAAAAATAGGGGTGATCATAAGAAATAAAATAAGCAATTTCAATTATGTCATTTAAAAATGGGACAGCTAGGTTGAATGGTGAATAGAATGTTAGGCCTGGAGTTAGGAAGACTCATCTTGCTAAGTTAAAATCTGACCTCAGACTAGTTATGTGACCCTGGGCAAGTCACTTATCCCTGTTTGTCTCAGTTTCCCCATCTGTGTAATGAGTTAGAGGAGGAAATGGCAAACTACTCTACTATCTTTGCCAAGAAAACCCCAAATAGGGTAATGAAGAGTCAGGCATGACTGAAAATGACTGAACAACAACAAATGCATATATGTGAATATGTACGTATACATGTACACACAGAATATATGTCTATGTATGTGCATGCAAGCATGTGTATATGTGTATATACATATGCACAGACATGCATATACATGTGTTATATATAGCACATTTATGCATAACACACATATACACACACATAATCACATAACATAGAAATTTGGAGCCTCTTCCCTTTTGCCTCAGACACTTACTAGATATGTGAATCTGGGCAAGTCACTTAACCTCTGTTTGCCTAAGAGGCATGTAGGTGGCTCAGTGGATAGAGTACTCAGCCTGGAATCAGAAAGACCTGAGTTCAAATGAGGCTTCAGAGTCTTACTAGCTATATAACACTGGGCAAGTCAATTAATGTCTGGAGAAGGAAATGGCAAACCAGTCCAGTATCTTTGCCAAGAAAACCTCATGGACAATATGGTCCACAGAGTCAAAGAGAGTTGGACATGACTAATGAACAACGATAACAACATATCAGTATAAAGCATTCAAGTATTTAATGAACATTGGGCTAGTTTAATTGCTTCTGAGCCTTTCTTAACATCCATTGATTAACTTTTACATTTTTAACCCATATCAAATAGTTTTAATTACTATTGCTTCCTGATATAGTTTGGGATTTGGTAATGCTAATCCCCCATCATTCCTATTTTTTAATATTTTCATCAAAATTTTTTATCTTTTGTTGTTTCAAATGAATTTTGTTATAATTTTTCCTAGTTCTCCAAAGAAACATTATAGTAGTTTGATTTATAATGCATTAAAAAACCTAAAAATTAATTTAGGTAGTATTTTTGTTATATTAGCTTCATACGAATACGAACAATACATATTTATCCAGTTATTTGTTTTCCTTTATTTTCATAAAAATGTTTTATAATTACATTCATATAAATGTAAAAGCACGCCCAGAAGTTTTATGTATTTTATGGTTTTTTAGAATGTGATTGCTTTTCCTATTTCTTCTTGATAAGTTTTATTAGTAATATGAACAAAATACATGATATTATAGTTTTATTTAATATTCTATAATTTACTAAATATATTATTTTATTTTTATTGAATCTTTCATTTTAATCTTTTGATTACTTTTATTGTTTTTGAATCCTTAAGAAACCTATGATATATTCTGAGAGATTTTTGCATCTCTTTGTTTATACCCTTTCCCTAATTTATTTTTATATTCTAATTTCTATAATTAGAATTCCTAGAGTTATAAAAATAGTAACACACAGTAGATAATTTTGCTTTTATCCCTTATCTCATTAGAAAGGTGTCCAATTTCTTTCTATTATACATATGAAAGCTCTTGTTTTAGATAGATACTGTTAGTCTTATTAAGAATAGACAGTTTATTCCTATACATTTCATTATGTGTTTTTATATAACTGCATACTGAATTTTGACAAGGGTCACTTATGTATTTATATTACCATGTGATTTTGTTTTTGTAATTAATAAAATAGATTATGTTTATGATTACCCTAAAGTTGAGTCAGTCTTCCATTTTGGGGGCATAAATCTTAGCTGATTTCAGTGAATAATTCTAAGAATATATTTCTGTAGCCTTTTGTCTGGTACTTTATTATTTTATATGAATATTTATTAGGAATATCAACCCATAATTTTCTTTCTCTGCTCCTTTTCTTTATATTTTGGGTATTAGAGATGTATTTGTCTCTTAGAAGTAGTTTGTTAAAGTGTAAGATGCTTATACAAACCTAATTAAAGGGTTAATTTCATAATTTGAAACAATTCTCTTGTAAATCCATCTTGGCCTGTTTCACCTTCCCCTCTTTAGGAATTTATTGATGGCTTGTACATTTTCTGTTCTAGAGAATAGTTCTTTTCTTATTCTGTTAATCTTAGTATTTTATATGATATATGTATTAACTAATTTATATTATATTTTATGTATGTTGGCAGACAATTGGATAGAATAACCTTAAAATTTCCTTATTTATTCTTGGATTTTTGTGAATTTTTAATCTAAATTTCATTTTGATTTAGTTAATTTAGTTTGCAGCTCAATCTCTTTGTAGTTCTCTCTTTATGATATTTTGATTCTCATAGCACAAGAATGAATTATTTTCCATTATATTACCTTTAAAACAGTTTTATTTACTGTTTTAATAGTGTTTTGCTCATTTTGTTTTATTCTCCCTTAATTTTTTCTCTTCTTATATTTTTAATATTTCTATTTTGTGTTTACCAGAAATGTTAGTTTTAAATTTTTCTTCTTTAGAAAAGCGCCTAATAAACTTATTGACTACTTTTTTTTTCCTCTTTGGTATATTTAGCAACATAAAATTCTCTTGGAAATTGAAGGGATGCCCATTGATTGAGGAATGGCTGAACAAGTTGTGGTATACGAATGTAATGGAATATTACTGCTCTACGAGAAATGATGAGCAGGTGGATTTCAGAAAAACCTGGAGAGACTTCCATGCACTGAAGCTGAGTGAAGTGAGCAGAACCAGGAGAATGTCAGACATAGTAACAGCAACACTGTATGACAATCAACTATGATAGACTTAGCTCTTCTCAGAAATACAATGATCCAAGACAATTCCAAAAGACTCGTGATGGAAAATGCTATCCAGACCCACAGAAAGAACTACTGAGTCTGAATGCAGGTCGAAGCATACTGTTTTCACTTCTGTTCTTGTTTTTTTCCCCTTCTCGTGGTTTTTCCATTTTGTTCTGGTTTTTCTTTCACAACATGACTAATATGGAAATGTGTTTAAGATGATTATACATGTGTAACCTAAAAAAAAGGAAATATAAAATTATCTGTAACAATTGTTTTAGCTATATAAATTTTGTTATATAATACAAATACTACAATTTTTAATATAATGATTTATTGTTTTGGGGATGCATTCTTTGAGCCTCTGTAATTAGAATTTGTTATTCATTTAAGTGTTACCCTCTTCATCTTTCTCTTATTGGTTATAATGTCTATTGCATTATAGTCTATAAGAAATACATTTAATGGCTTTACCTTTCTGCATCTGTTCATGAGTTAGTTATGCCCTAGCAGGTCAATTTGTAAAGGTACCATGCAAAGCTATAAAACAAAAACAAAACCAAAAATTAATTATGTAAACATATGTGTGTATTTGTATTTCTTATTCAGTAACCACCAAGACTGTCATAGCCATTATCATATTCTCTTCAGAGGCTTAACTTTTTTCTTGTTTATCTTTCCATTAGATTTGTCTGCTTCTATTTGTTTTTTTAAATTTTATTTATTTTTAGTTTTCAACATTTACTTCCACAAGATTTTGAGTTTCAAATTTTCATCTCACCCCTCCCTCCACCCCAAGAAAGGATGCATTCTGAATATCCCTTCCCCTAGTCTTCCCCCTCTTCTATCTCTCCCCCCCTTCTCTTATCCCCTTCCTCTTCTATTTTCCTGTAGGGCAGGACAGATTTCTGTACCCCATTTCCTGTATTTCTTATTTCCCAACTGCATGTGAAAATATTTTTTTTAAACATGTGCTTTTAAAATTTTGGGTTCCAAATTTTCCCTCTTCCTTCCTCCCCATCCACCTTCACTGAAAAGGCAAGCAGCTCAATATAAGTTATTCATATGCAGTTATGCAAAGCACTTTCATAGTAGTCATATTGTGAAAAACTAACTCTATTTCCCTTCATCCTTTCCCACCTGCTCATTCATTCTATTCTTTATTTTGACCCTGTCCCTTCTCAGAAATGTTTGCTTCTGATTGCCCCCTTTCCCAATCTGGCTTCCTCTCTATCTTTCCCCTGCTCTCTTGTCCCCTTCTCCCCCTATTTTCCTGTAGGGTAAGACAGATTTCCATACCCAATTGAGTGTGTATGTTATTCCCTCCTTAAGCCAAATCCTATGAGAATAAGATTCACTCATTCCCTCTCACCTTCCCCTGTTTCCCCTCCACTATAAGAGCCTTTTCTTTTCTGTTTTTGTGTGAGAGAATTTACCCAGTTCTACCTCTCTACCTCTCCCTTTCTTCTTCTCCCAGTATAATCCTCCCTCACCCCTTAATTTTATTCTCCAGATATGACCCCTTCATCTTCAACTCACCCTGTGCTCACTCTCTCTCTCTCTCTCTCTCTCTCTCTCTCTCTCTCTCTCTGTCTCTCTATCTATCTATATGTCTATGTATACATACATATAATTTTTCCCCTCCAACTACCCTAATATTGACAAAGGTCTCATGAGTTATAACTATTATCTTTCCATGCAGGAGTGAAAACAGTACAACCTTAATAAATCTCTTATTATTTCTCTTTCCTGTTTACTTCTTCATGTTTCACTCGAGTCTTGTATTTGAAAGTCAGATTTTCTATTCAGCTCTGGTCTTTTCATCAAGAATGCTTGAAAGTCCTCTATTTCACTGAATGACCATTTTTTACCCTGAAGGATTATGCTTAGTTTTGCTAGGTAGGTGATTCTTGGTTGTATCCTATCTCCTTTGCCCTCTGGAATATCATATTCCATGCCCTCTGGTCCTTTAATGTAGAAGCTGCTAAAGCTTGTGTTATCCTAATTGTGTTTCCACAATACTTGAATTGTTTCTTTCTGGCTGTTTGTAATATTTTCTCCTTGGCCTGGGAACTCTGGAATTTAGCTACAATATTCCTAGGAGTCTTCCTTTGGGATCTCTTTCAGGAGGAGATCTGATTCTTTCAATTTCTATTTTGCCCTCTGGTTCTAATATATCACGGCAGTTTTCCTTGATAATTTCTTGAAAGATGATGTCTAGGCTCTTTTTTTGATCATGGCTTTCAGATAGTCCAATAATTTTTAAATTCTCTCTCCTGGATCTATTTTCCAGGTCAGTTGTTTTTCCAATGAGATATTTCACATTGTTTTCTAATTTTCATTCTTTTGGATTTGTTTTACAGTGTCTTGATTTCTCATAAAGTCACTAGCTTCCAATTGCTCTATTCTAATTTTTAAGGAAGTATTTTCTTCAGTAATCTTTTGGACTTCCTTTTCCATTTGGCCAATTTTTCTTTTTAGGGCATTTTTCTCCTCATTGGCTTTTTGGACTTCTTTTGCCAATTGGATTAGGGTATTTTTAAGGTATTATTTTCTTCAGTATTTTTTGGGGTCTCCTTTAGCAAGCTGTTGACTTGTTTTTCATGATTTTCTTGCATCACTATCATTTCTCTTCCCAGTTTTTCTTCTACTTCTCTTACATGCTTCTCAAAATCCTTTTTGAGTTCTTCCAAGGCCTGGGACTGATTCTTCTTTTATTTGGAGGCTTTGGATGTAGGAGCTTTGACTTTGTTGTCTTCTTCTGGTTGTATGTTTTGATCTTTGTTACCAAAAAGAGATTCTGTGGTCTGACATTTCTTGTGAGGTTTGCTTATGGTCCCAGCCAATTACTTGAGTTAGAAACTCTTTATTAAGGTAGAGGTTGCTTCCAAAGTGGAGAATGCACTGTCCCAAGTTTTGGGGATTTGTACAGCTGTTTTCAGTGATACTTCTAGGGACCTGTAAATTTTCAGTTATTCCAAAGTGCTATGCTCAAGGGCAAGGAGTTTGCACCTTTTCTCATCTGTGCTCTGGTCTGTGAGTGGCCACAAACACTCTTTTCTGTGTTGGAACTCTGAGGAGTATTCTCTCTCCACAACTACTACAAGCTATCTTGCCAGCACTCCTCTTAGCCCAGGACTATTACCCAGAACTGTGACCCAGATCCAGGCACGGGCAAAGCAAGAGATTCCAGCCTCAGCACTGGCAAAGAGATTCTTGCAATCCCCCTCTGATCAGCTACTTGATTCCCCCTCAGTCTGCAGGACGGAAGTTCAAGAGGCAGCCATCCCCCAGGACCATACTCTGGGATTGGGGCTGGGACCCCACCAGGCTTCTCTGTCACCACAGAAACAGACTTTTCCCACTGACCTTCTAAGTTGTGTTTGGTATTCGTGTGTTGAAAGGTCTGGAAACTGCCACAGCTGCCCATGATTCAGTCCTCTGAGGCCTGTTCCAGCTTTACTGCAGCCTACGCCTATGCCAAACTGCGCTCCTCTCCCTGCCTCGTGCAATATGCCTTTCAGATCAACCATCCAGGTTGTCTTGGGCTGGAAATTTGTTTCACTTTGTCTTTTTGTGGGTTCTGCTGCTTTAGAATTTGTTTAGAGCCATTTATATAGGTATTTGGAGGGGTTTGGGGGAAAGCTGAAGCAAGCCACTGCTTTCACTCCACCATCTCAGCTCCGTCCCCTAGATTTGTCTAATTCTAAAAGAGGGCAGTTTGAAGGCCCCCAGAGTTGTTTTGTTTAATTGTCTAGCTCTTCCTAAGCTTCAGTTAACATTTTAATGTACTTAAAGAGCATATCATCCAGTGCATGTACATTCTATCTTGGTATTTTGTTAACTATGTGTCCTTTAAGTATAATGCAGTTTCTTCTCTAATCTTTCCTAACCAAATAAATTTTTTATTGTTGTCTTCTATGAAACTGTATCCTTTAATGGGAGAATTTAGATAAGATATAATAGATTATACTCAAACCCAACATTTTTAACTCTGTGAATCATTATGTTTTAAAGAGTGGTTGTTGTTTGTTGTTGCTTTTGGTAAATAAATTATGATTTGTGATTCATAATTTTGTTCTTTGTTGTTTTGGTTTTCCAGAAAGACAATTATACAGGAGTTCATTTGTTTGTTTGTTTCATCCATTTCTTAATACATTGTTTCACTGGGAACATTTTCTTATTGTAGAGATGGTTTTATAGAAGTTAATTTAGTCTGGAACCTTTAAGTCATTTTCTTTACTCATTACTACAGTACTATTTTTACTACCCAGCTTCCTTGCTGCCTTTCTGGGCCTTACTTTCTTCATCTACTAAATAAAATTAGATAGTTGAAGTAGATGATTTCCATGTCCTTATAGCTTTGATTTTCTAACATTATATGATTATAATAGTCTAGCAGAGCTGTAACTAGGAATTCTAACATCTGGGGCAGGTAAACAGGATTTGTTTAAGATATGATTATTTTTCTGTATAATTGAGGTCGAATGGAGAACTATGACTTGGTAATTGAGGAACTGGGAAGCCAGTTCCCTGATGACAACATCAAAGATATGGATGGATAGACTTTTCATTAAAGGAGGGACTGGAAAGTGATAGCATTAAGTTGGTTATGGTGGAATCATTATCCAACCATGAAAACTGCCTGCTGATCTTAAGTGTTATACATTGTGTAGATTTCCAAATCAGTCAGTTTGTTAGGGTTAGACCACTGGTACAGGTGGTCAGGGACTGGGAGAATGTCTAGAAACTGGGGAGTGGCAAACTGAGGGAATAGATGACTCAGGGACATCAATCCTAAGGAGAAGGAAATTTATAGCTAGAATGCTGATGAAATCTTCTAAGTTACCCCATCTACTATGCTTATTCTGCATGGGGCCTCCGAAGGCAAAGCCCGGAAGTTCTCTTTTTAGTTCAGGCCCTGCTCTCTGGCATCAAGCATTTCAGATATCAATCATTTGCATGATATCTGGTTGCCAGGAGCAACCTCTGCTGAAAGAATGCCATTATATATAAAATGCATACCACACCTAACAGTTACAAAGACCTGTTAGGATAGAGAGGAATTTTTACTTTTTATTTTTTTTAGTAAGAGAGTTAATATTTTGATTGGGAAAATATAGTAATATTCGTTCACTAAATGAGTGACAAGTCAGTCAAGTTCCTACCAGGTTAAAAAAAATCATTTTAATAAAAAGTAACTAGAAAGTATGACATAATCATGAAAGATTTATTATGTATGTATATATGCATATATACAGTTAGTATATATGCTTATATATAGTTATGTGTATGTATGTATGTATCTATATCTATATATGCTTATATGCATATGTATGTGACTCGTGTGTGTGTGTGTGTGTGTGTGTGTGTGTGTGTGCACGTGCGCGTATGTTCTAAGACCAGAAAAAGGAAAAAAGAAAAATCTTTAAGAGTGAATCAAAGAGATTGGCTTTGCATTTTGCAGGCTGAGAATCTCAAACAGCAATGCTTTACAGACTGAACTTTGAAGATGTAACTCAAAATAGTATTTGGCAAGATTTAATTTTTTATTAGATTTTTTCGATTCAGAAACTAATGAGAGAATTCAAATATTTTATAAAGGCAGGGTTTTCAAATTTCTCCCTGGAACTTCCTCTACAGTATTACTCTCTGTAAGTATCCTCAAAGGCTCTGAAAATGATGACTTACTTTTTTAAAAAATAAAGAAAGGATATGATTGCCAGATGGGGTTGCTAGCTCTAATCACTAATATTATCTTAACCCAAAAAATTGAAATATCAAAAACTGTTTCCAACATTTCTTATGTAAGAGTGTAAGAGTATACTTTTGTGGCCCAATGAGTCTATTTCTATCTACACTATTTTAACTACTTCCATTTTTGATAGAAAATTTCTAATGCTTATATTTTAAAATCTTCAAAAGCAATGGGAAAGAAATTGGCATTAAAGGTGAGGAGGGATTGCAAGATTAAACTCAAAGGTGCCCTGATGAAAAGAAAGCAAACCTAAGGGATAAAAAACAGGGAAAGGTTTCCTTTTGAAATGATGATACTAGAAATAAGCTACTTTCAGGTAGGAATTTAATTAGAGCTGTCCATCACACTAATTGCATAAGGTTAGACAGCATGACTCAGCATAGCAGTGTATTAGAATAGTCACTCTACTGAACCTATTGATTGTATTGGATTTTTGGCTTTCAAACTGCAGCACCTCCTTCCCAATCAAAGCAACATGCACTTGGTCCTCACTGCTATTTTAATGACAATGGAATATCACAAATTGTTCTGCTCTGATGTCAGGACCTTAGAGCTAACCTACAGGTTCATGGTATCCAAGTGGCTCTGAAAAATAAGCCAGGTTTTTGTCTGTCTACACAACTTAAAATTCTATCCTTATCAGCAAAATTCTATCCTTTCTTCTTTGGCATTTCTTTATAAAGTCACATTCCCCACTCTTTATCCCTTCCCCCCTCTCCAACCCTTCATCTGTACCCACTGTACCCACTTTATCTTATATCCTGTTAGTCATTTTTGATTGATTCCTATCCAGAAACCCATTCTTTCCTGTCTTATTTTATTCCCCTTGGCCTCCTTATTTTCTTTCCACATAAGTATGGCTATGAAGCACCCGAGGCCCTGGGGACTGACTCATAGCAGAATGTCTTCTTGTTTCTGTTTGGCTTTGATAGGATACAAAAGCAAAACAATAAAAATGTTAATAGTATCATTCACACATTTTATCTCATAGGACTTCACAGAGGAAAAGAGGGCAATAAAGGAGGTAAGAAAGTAAAAGGAGAAAAAATAATTTAGAATAAGCCAGAATAAGGAGACAGGTTTTTCAATATAACCAAACCACCAGAGTTGAGGAAGACCTAATTAAATGGATAATGCTAAATTCAATAAACAAGGATTAAAGAAGTCAAATGACTTATCCTATTATAATTCAAATTAAATAAAAGAGTCAATGGCACCTTCTGACCCAAAGATTATTAGAAACATGGTGGGTGGCTTATAATGGAAATGGAGCTAGCACATGTTACATATTATTTCTAAGCATTGGGTGCTCAGTACAGGTAATGGTTTGGTAGTATGGCCAACTGACCTCCTCTTGAGGACCTCAGAAGAAAACAAGGAAAGAAGATCACTTTATTGAGGCAAGGCTATTGTGAAAAGTGTTAGGAGTCCTAGATTCTGGTTCTCTTTCTTCTGTTAACATGCTACATGATTTGGGATAAAATAATTTTGCTCTCTGAGCCTCACTTTTCTCATCTAAAGAAAGAGAGGAACTTGGACTTTATTAGCTCTGAGTTTTCTTATAACACTAAGAAGCTAGGATTCTTAACAATGTCATAGTATCAGATCACTATCCTAAAGGTAACAGTTCTTTGTGTGATGATTTCAAAAGGTCAGTGCATTTCTTGGGAGAGTTGGCACAAATAATGTTCAATTTAGTTTGTTTTCAGATACTTCAATATGTTAAGTATCTATGGTTTTATAAACATAAACATGAAGAGAAGATAGCTTATTCTTTGCAGAGGTTCTTAACCTAGGAATCTATAGCTTTACATGCACACACACACACACACACACACATACACACATCATACCACACACATGTATATATGAATATGTGTGTGGATATATAAATAGGTGTGTGTGTGTGCATATATGTATCTATATAATAGCTGTATTTCAATATCACTGGTTTCTTCTATGATCCTTTGTATTTTATTTATTTTAAAACATTCTGAGAAGTCCATAGATTTCACTAGGCTGTTGAAGGAGTCCATGACAAAAAAAAATAATGGTTAATAACCTTATTTTAGGAAATATTTTTATGAGTTACTATGGTTTAAAAAAATAAGTAAGGGTAGCAGACTCTCTGGCCATGAGCCTACACAGCTTTAACTCTACTGATGATCACTTCTATTACTTGGCCTGTGCTAAGAGTTGGCTTCTATGTGGCATGATATCTGAGATTATTTTCTGATAGGATAAGATTCAAGAATCCAGGCTCACTTCCATATCCCAGGAAATCACTGGGAACCTAGTGAGTTAAGATATTTTTTTTGAAGTTGTCTAACATCAATTAATTCAAGTTTGCTCTATACATTTGAAAGTGATTTAAGATTATTTAACAATGGGTAGATGAGTCATTTACGTATGTGGGGAAAACCATCAGTTGAACCAGTTGTTTGGGTTTATATGAGAAGGGTAAAATTTATATGTCTATATATCTGTTACTGTCTATATCATTTTAATCTACACATGGGGGTAGAGGAGGCAACAAAGTGAAATCCCTTAAATAAAGCCAGAGAGCAATAGAACCTGGATTATTTTGTAAGGACATGGTTGAAATCCTTTTACTAAGATTGTTTGTAATCATCAGAATAATCATCACTGATATTAGAATGCAAACTCCCGAAGGGTACAAATTACACTGTATTTAATCTTTCTGTCCTGGCACCAAGCAGAGTAGGCATTTGTTTAATTCAATTCATTCAAATAAAAAAAAAACATGTACTTGAATTAGGGATATTGTTAGCTGAAAGAAAATGGGACTTTTTTAGTGGTAACATAGAATCAACTACTGAAAATTTTGAAATATATAATTACACATATATGAATATAATATGTGTGCATGTGTGTGCATGCACACATGAAAATTATTACCTGTTTGATAAAGAAAAGTTAAATTACATGGGTTCTAAAACATAAGGAGTATTGCAAACATAAGAGTGAAGTAATTGTTTTATAATTAAGGAACACCCAAAACATACATTGCTAAAGTCATTTTAATAACGTGTGCATTGAATCACAGTTTTTTTTCCCCAAATAGTAGCAATTCAAATAAGTAATTTAGTGTTAGGGATAAACTATGAATTTAATTTATACATTCATTAATTGTACAATTAAACAGAATACTAATTGACTGTAGAATTATAGCTAAGTGGAACACTGCACCAGGGTAATTAGTTCTAGTTCTGTTTTTCATTGTGAACATAATATTTCCTAGTCTCACCCTACCCAATTAGTTTTTGTTTGGTTTTATTGATGCATAAATCATCCTAGCACAAAGATTGAATCCCCAGAATATAGGTGGATTGCTACACTCCTGCAGTAAAAGGTTATCCCTTTAAAGAAAGGACATCAGATTACAGTAGCCAGGTATTTGGAGATGCTTTGCAGGTGTGCAATTTCCAATAAATAATCTTCCACTGGAGGAAAAAAAAAACAACGTAGGTCAGAAGTGTTCTTATCATCATTTTGTCCAAGTGTGACATGATGGAGCAGTGAGTTTAAATGAAGTCCTGATGATTTTCACAAACAGCTCTCCAATTAGTGAAGCATAAGCATGAAGCATTGCACTTAGCATTTTTTCTCAGTTGTCACTTTGGATTCACAGGGACTTCTTATTTAAAACAGCAGTGATCACTTTCTAGTTCTGTGAATCAAAGGAAAGAAAGCAGGCATGGGAAGGAAGAGGAAAGAAATTGGGTGAGTCTATGTCTGTGAAAACAAAGTGGCTCTGTCTCTGATGAGATCCCAAGGGACACATTGTGGGTTATAGATGTTAACCTTAATGTGGTCCTCAGGAGGTTAAGGATGTGTCTCCACAATAGCCTCACTTCTTTAAAATATAAGAAAAAGATGGTATAGCAGAGTGAAATGCATCCTGGCCTTGGAATCAGGAGAGATTTGGTTTCATTTCTCAGCTCTAACACTTATTGTGCTAACCTAGTCTACTTACTTGATCTCTTTGAAATGTGGTTTCCTCATCTGTAAAGTGGTGATTATAATCTACAGGGTTTTAATGAGGAAAAGGATTTGTAAAACTTAAACCTTTCTAGAAATGTTATTATTATCAATAATGTCACTTTTCAAACTCTTTCAAGCTTCCTGCCTAAATATTTTTTTATATTAAAGAACTCAAGGGGATAGTAGAAAGGTCATTGCAGAAAGGTCAAAGAAATTGTCTTTTATTGTCCACCTGAGCACCTATTTAAAGTTAATAAGATGGAGGAGGATTCTCAGAAGATGGCAGAGTAGGTCAGAAAATTCTAAGCTCTCTAGATTTCTCCCCACAAAAGAGATAAAATAGCAACTTAGGCCAAACAAAGTTCAGATAAAGGTAAATAAGAATAGGGGCACAACAGGTGTCTTCCTGGGACAATTTGAGAAGATCAGAAGAAAACTCCTAGGGTGAAGGTTTGGTCCATATAAAGAGTAAATACCTCCAGGATAGGGTCTGTGTTAACAACAAGTAGAAAGGATTGGGGTTAGTTGGTTTGGGAGACTGCTTCAGCCCCAGCCACAGGAACTTTTACCCCCAGGATAGTGAGGAGAGTTTGGAGTCTAAGCCAGGGAAGATCTAGGGAACCTCTGCTGACAAGGAAAGCCAGACCTAGCTGTGCTGAGGAGATGCAGTGGGAGCAAGAAGGAACCAGCACATGCATAGTGAATGCAGAGGTAACGGGGCACAATGCCCCTGGCTGTGGGCACTTACAGGAGGCTGGAGGTGTGACTTTGGTTCCAGGCTAGAGGGGAGAACTGAAGATCTGGGGCAAGAGGCACCATCCTCCATATTCCAAGGCTAGAGGTGATTACAAAAATTAAGCAGTTACTATTTTAAAAAATGCATGGGGAGGGGAGCTAGGAGGACCTGAGTTCAAATCCGGCCTCAGACCAAACACTTGACACTTACTAGTTGTGTGACCCCAGGCAAGTCACTTAACCCCAATTGCCTAAAAATTAAAAAAAAAAAAGATGCACAGGGAAAGGAGAAAGAATCCAACCATACAAAGTTATTATGAGAATAGGGAAGAGCAGGTTCATCTTCAGAGGAGGATATTGAAAAAAAGAAACCCTCTTCTACCCCAAAGAGTAACATCAACCTGACCAAAAAGAATCACAGAATTTTAAGACTTTAAAAATCAAATGAGAGAGATGGAGGAAAAACTAAAAAATAATAAAAAGAAGAAGAATGATCCAAGAAAAACAAGATTATAAAAAGAAATTCAACCAATTAGAAAAGGAGATCCAGAGTCTTAAGGAAAAAAATGACACCCTGAAAATTAGAATTGGGCAAGGTGAAGCCGTCAAAGTTATAAGAGATTAAGAAATAATTAAACAAAATATGAAGAATGAAAAAATAGAAGAGAAAGTGAAACATCTTATAAGAAAAACAACTGATCTGGTAAACAGATCAAGAAGAGAAAACATAAGAATAATCAATCTACCTGAAAGCTATGATGACAAAAAATAATCTTGATACAATAACACAAGAAATAATTAAATATTTATTTTTTTCTGAAGCATTAGAACAAGGGGCGAAAGTACAAATAGATAATGCACTGATCACCACTTGAAAGAGATCCTATGAGGAAAACTCATAGGAATGTTATAGCCAAATTCTGAAACCCCCAGCTCAAGAATAAAATATTAAAAACAACTAGAAAAACATCAATTTAAATATGATGGTACCACAGTTAGAATCACACAAGACATAGCAGTAGAGACACTAAAGGACTGCAGGTCTTGGAACACTATATACCAAAGAGCAAAAGAACTGGGGCTCAGGCCAAAAATAGCATACCAGCAAAGTTAAGCATAATCCTGAATTTAAAAAAAAATGGACATTTAAACAAGAACTGTCAGACTTTCAAGACTTTGTTTA